TTTATATGCTGTAATTATACTGTTTTTAACTATGTTAAAACTAGTTTAAAAAAATGTATTAGAAGAATTCTCTCTCAAGCTCCATGTGCACAGCCTGCTCTACAACATAGTAATGACATGTTACAGCATTCTTTACAAACCAAAATGAAGCAATGAGAACACATCCATTTTAAACCCTGCAGGTTTATGAATTGATCCTTATGTGGGTAAGCAGGTCAGGCATATTTGAACAGGTCACAACAGCCATTTTACGTGGGCCTCTTCAGGCACACCACAGCGAAGGGAGCCTGCTACAAGTGACATTACATCAGTGGATACTACAAAAGCTACCGTGGAACTTTACAGCACAAAAATTAAGTGATGACAGAATCAGGCGGAAGATCGAAGAGGAAACAACCAGAAATATTTCAACTAACCTGAGAAAAACTCCAGTACCTCTTCCCGGGTGCAGGACCATGGCAAACCACGGACTCTCACAATGCATTCATCTGCCATGCTTTCTGAAGAAAAAACAAAAACTGTAATTACTTTTTTATGTTTAGAAAAAAGGACAATGCATTACAATTAACAAAAAGCTTGTTGTGTTGTTACCTGGCTGCCTACAAGGAACATTCCCTCAAAAACTTAATTTGCCTTTACAACACAGCAATCAGTAAACAAGACTGAAGGAAGTATCAGCTACTCCAGTCTCAGGAATTTATTTTTGTATTGAAATGCCAGTTCCAGGTAATCCAAAAGAACACATACCCGTAGGAATCTAGTTACAGAAACAAACGGCCATGCAAATTACACGGAGCCACGTATCTGAAGTACTTTTAAATGAGATACTTTGTAAGCCACAACATCAAGGTAGGTAATCTAAGGCCTGGTTCACACTGAGCGATATGAAAAAAAGCGCAAAATACGCCCCCCCAGAAGCTGATTGGTTGCCATGCACAGTAACTCCAGATTTTGTCTGCTCCAGTATTGATAAATTCTCCCATTATAAATAAAATAAACATATTAGAGGTGCACCGAAATGGAAATGTCAAAACCGAAATTTAAAAAAAGTCAGGCCGAAACCGAAAATGTAGCCAAAAGTGCCATTTTCAGCCGATATGTTTCGGCGGACGATATCTCGGTGCATCCCTAAAACATACACACGCATACATGCACACTTAGGCCTGGTTCACACTGAGCGTTTTGTAGCGTGTTTTCTGACCTAAAACGCTCAAATAATCTGCCCTCCAAAAAATCCCATTAATTTCTATGGCCCTGTTCACATCCGAGCGTTTTGTCACAATAAGCAAAACGCCTGTCGCTGGAAATAGTAGGGGAGTTTTTTGGCATATAACGCACGTTTGCTGTGTTTTTGCACAATTTCTTATTAAAATGAATGAGCTACAATCCGCTTCCAAAAATGTGCATAAAACCACATTAAAGCGCTGTTGCCTAAGTGTGAATGGAGACTAATGGAGGAAAGGTGAACAATGTTGATCTTGCCAGAAATGGTATGTTCTTGTCACTTCCTGCGGGATGAACCAATAGAGCAATGCCATCTTCCTTCTCAAAGCTACTAATCCCATCAGCCCCCACGTAAGAGACGTGAACATACGCAGACATGTGCAGAATGATAAGCGGCAATATTTTGTTTTAAGACTTAGATCATATTTACCCTTACAGGGGGCAACACGAAACATGATCACAGTCCTTCAAATCCCCTCTCCCTATACTAATTTATGAGGTTATTTCTCCCGCAGAAACTTTTTTTTTTTTTTTTATGTGGTGTGGATGTGCGCGATACCTTCCTCCAGTCTGGTACCCTAATGCCAGTACCTAAAAATTTACCAGTGGGCACAAGAGCCTGCGCAGTATACCTGTGGTTTCAATACGATGCAGGCTCCAACGCAAAAAATTAATAGATCCATTCAAATTCCAAACCCTATGGATAAATTTTTTGAAAAAGGTGGACTATGCCTTTAAGACAAGCAAACAAGAAACCTTATAGCTGTTAAAGAAAAAACCCTTCCAGTAAACATATCCAATATCAGCAAAACCGGACTCTAGTATACACAGGACATGGGATGTCTGGTTCAACAAAATAACCATAACAGTCTTAACAACCCTGTAGATACATGAGCCCGCTCGCCCCGATACATATACACCAGCTAGAACAGGCTACAAGCCATCAGCTACCTCCACAATGCCATTAGACCTCCATAGGCCACAACTGAAAAGCTCAGTCCCCGCGCTATGGTGCCCTGTATACGGGTCAGTCCCGTACACACAGCAGGCCGGGAAAGTGGAGCGAGGGAACAAGTAGTGAGCTCACGTGACCTCCAGCCGCGCACACACTAGCCAAGTATCGACTTCCTCGCCGCCGCGTGTACACGCACACAAGGCCTCCGCATTCCCCGTTTCCATCGTGCGATCAACTTGCCAATGTACAAAGCCACAAAATGGCGGCCGAAGGCTATAAGCCGTACCAGCTCCGAACGATATAGCCACTTTCGATATCCACCCTCAGCTCCTAATCGACCCGTACAGTAGGCCCGAGGTTTTGCCGGATGCCTTCCCTGCTAATGACGACCTGCAGCCAAGAGCAGACGCTCGCTTATCCGCCAGTACACTACAGAGGCGGCCGTACCGCCGAGAATTCATTTTTCGCGGCTGAAAACACTCACCTGATGTGTGAGGGTGGAACGGGCGCGCGGTGTGAGAGACTGGCGAGAGCCGGACACTCCTTTCATACACACACCACTCGTGGAGCGAGACGTGCGGCGTGATGACGTAACGGCCGTTTCGCCTGGAGAGCGGGAACAGGGGAAAGGAAGTGACGTCTCATAGGAGGGCGTGCTTCCTGGCCTCTAGGCGGAAGCCATCTTATAGGAGGCAGGTCTGCGCAATGGCGCTTGTGGCTCCTTCAATGGGTTAGAGTAGTGTTACGTTTACTCAAATAGTAAAAATAGAATAAAACTATAATTAATGACACACTATATGTTTCTTTTTTATTCCCATATGTTTTCTATTTAGTCACACAGTTACATTGTACCCACCCACTCATTGCAGCTGGAGATTTTCCTCCCTAACAGCAGGGCAGTGTCCATTCAGTTGCTCAGATGTGAGTGCTGAGTTAGCAAACAGCCACTGAACGCTGTGCTGCAAGTCACCTTAGCACTCGCTGTGCTGCAGCTTAACTTAGCACTCACAGCGGAAGTGAATGTGGCTGCAGAGTTTGATGTGCGTATTAGGCTGGTAGTAGCCGGACTTGCCCAATGCAAAGAGCTGAGGTCTGCTTTCCACATAAAGTCTGCCCAAGGTTTCCATCTTTTTTGGGAATAAATACAGCAACAGGTCACATATTTACACACCTGGTGGCAACCCTAATGTAACCAAACACAACGATCGGATTGAGCAATGTATAGCCCCAACATTGCTGTAGTATGGGATAGGGAAAAGTTTAAACCCCTTCCAGGTTATTTTTTTTTCTGTCTACCATTGGGAAATTTCCCTTCACTTCCTGTGCCAGAGACAAATCAGTAAGTTACAGGAAATCTCCAAAAGTGAGGGAAATTCATCTCTTAGGGTCCCCACACACCTTACGATTATCGTACGATAATCGCGGGAAATCCCGCGATCGTACGATGATCGTAAGGTGTGTGGAAGCCGTGCGACCTCTACTACTGTAAGGTCGCACGACTTTAAACTTACGGACATGTTCGAAAACCCGCCGAGCATCGTACGATGTTCGGCGGGTTTGTGGCATGTCCGTGCGATAACAGCCGTACGGGCCTGTGTGCGCAAGCGCACACTGCCCATTCGGCATCGCGGTCATCGGAAGCCTGCCCCTCAGGGGGCGTGGCTTGCGATCATCGCAAGTACGATCTGCCTATGCAACATAGGCAGATCGTACGTTTTTTTAAGTACCTTACAACCATCGCAAGACAGAAGTCTTGCGATGGTTGTAAGGTGTGTGCCCAGCCTTAGAAAGGTGTCCCCAGTAGATGGTTTCCCATTAGTGCTTGAAAAGGTGACCCAAGACCTTCTGCTCTCTAGCCCCCTCGTCACCTCATATGCTTGCCTCCAGGACTTCTCCAGGGTCTTTCCCATCCTCTGGAACTCCCTAATTCAAGTTGTCTGGCTATCTCCTACCCTGTCTTTAGGTGATCCCTGAAAACATCTCTTCAGGGAAGCCTATCCCACCTCAACCTAACCATTGTGCTCTAGTCTACATCAACTCATCCCCTTCACTGTTAAGATGTTTCTAGCCTGGAAACCCAACAGGATATGAGAGGAAGTGAGTGGAATGAAATCTTGTATTTGATTGCTATGGGGTATCACAAACCTTTTGTCCTTCTACTCACCATGTTACATAGTTGTGCTAAATCAACAAGAGATTGTAATATGATTTACTCTCAAATCCTGAGCTGGTGACAACTCTAGAATTTTGCTTCCCTTTCTGTCTCAATGGCAATGGTCACCAGGAGAAACAGGGGTGACAGCAAAGGTCAACCCTTCCCTACTGTCTCCAAAATGGTAAAGAAATGCCTTTGTATAAACTGCATGCTGCAGGTTTTATATACACTATATTGGTTTGAATTGGTCTGTATTACAAGCCGCATCTCAGCGAATCAGTAACTCGGAGGACACATCATACTTACTACATTTCTCAAATTTACACCCTCCCGTTCATCTACTGGGCCAGATAAACTATGGTCAGTATGTCATTCAGATCCTGCTTTTACGAATTTAAAAGAAAGGTGCTACCACACCAATTGTACAGAAAATCCAGAGTGTGACATTTCACACAAAAACTCTCACAAATCTGCACCAAAAAAATAATGGTTCAGAAAATGGGTTTGTCAATATTTGGCACAATAGTGAGCCAAAATGATGATGATGATGGAGCAAGACAGTTGCACATTATACTATGAACCCATTGCATTTGTGGTTGCAGAAATGCAATCCTGCACATTACACAGTTTGATCACTACCCTGTCCCTGGGCCCATCGCTGCCTCACTCACATGTACTGGAACATGTCATGGAGAATGCACTGCACAGATGAGACAAAAGGCTGCAGGCTCCCAACCCCCCCACCCCACAGCCCAGAAAGCAGCATGAGAATCCTGACATGTGTGGCGATCATACAAAATCCAGATTGCTGGATGGCTGTTTAGAGTAGTAGTGCCGGAGGGGGGGGTTACTGCCTAATGCTACTGGGGGGGTCAGGTGGGTGGCAGGTACTGCTGATCGTGTTGACGATATAGTAGATGTGGTGGGACGGGGGGCTTTATTAGACGGACAGAGAGCCATGCTGTCAGCTGCTCTCTGCCCGGTGCCGCTCAGCTCGCTGACGTCACTGCAGGAGCTCGGCGGGTGCAGCCATAGCGTCCCGCTCAGACTCCCTGACAACTGATGTGATATGGCCAACCCTCTGCCACCCCCTAATGAGATGCCGCCTGGGGCAACTGCCTTAGGCTGCCTCATTATAAGAACGACCCTGTCCATTGTACAGCAAACTGGCATGAAACAAGGGCAGTAAGATACAGATTTACTATATATTGATGGCTTGTTGTATATATTACCCACTCTGATGTTTCAAAGTAGCTCTGCTCCCCTAACAATTTTTCAGGTGTGCATGGGTTTTTACACACAACTGGTGCGAATGGTAAATCTGTTGTGAGGGGTTCACCAAGCTGACTTAGTATAATAAAATAGTTGTAAATACACAGAAAATAGCAGTAAATCCTTCGCAAAATGAGAGGCAAACTGATTTACTCTAGATATGCGTCTGATTATGTCCCTAACTTGTTTTATAAATCTCTTTCCAAATGTAAATAGTTCATAATATATTTAATAATGTGGGGCAAGGGTAGGCAACCTCAGCGCTCCAGATGCAGTGAAACTACAAACGCCATCATGCTTCTGCCTCTGGGACTCAAGCCTGTAGCTGTCAGTTTTGCAATGCCTCATGGGATATGTAGTTTCACCACAGCTGGAGCGATAAGGCTGCCTACCCCAGGTGTAGGATAATTAAATCTAGCCCATATATAGAAGAAAGCCAAGTGTGTTGGATCCAAAATTTTGTAGTTTGCAGTGACATGAGTGCCAAGTCTTAGAAAACCGCATATGACATCTTTGGCATGGACATCTACACTGCTCTAATTTAGGTTTGATAAAACGTGTGCAGAAGAAGTTTGATAAATCATGAAAAAAGATCATATTTTCAGCAAAGAGGAAATGATAAACCAAACAAATATGGGATTTGATGTAAAATATGGATGTAGCTTTCTAGTGCTGTTTTAGAAAGTCCAACACGTTCTACAGCAGCTCTCAGTATTACGACACATGCTACTCACCGTGTTGAGCTTGAACACAAGTTCTCCTTCTTTGGCAGAAGTAGCTGGCACCTTACATTCTTCTCCATTACTGCAAAGAGGTTACTTCCAGAAAAACACCAGGAACCCAGAAGATGCCCAAATCAAAATAAATTGACTTTAAATTGGTCTATGTAAATTCGGTTAGTATCCAGGTGTACCCGATTTGGAGATGCATATGGTGCAATATCCCAGTTCACAAATGGACTGGTCTTTGTGGGAGTTTCAAGTATCCCGCACGATCATGTGACCAGAGAGGTAGCTCATGACCAATGAGGAAAATCTCATGAAAACCAGTCAAACGAAATGTGATCTTTATCATGGGAGTTGTACTGTGCCGTCGGCACACATTTTTGTTTTTTTTTCTTAAAATGCTACTTTTTCATTGAAATACAGGTTTAACTCCAGTAAAAGAGGTCCAACTACATATCCGTTTAAAATCTATTGGAATTCTTGGCTCTCCTGTACGTCTCAAAAATTTGACAGCGGCTGTGAAATGTAAGGTTGTCAGTAAACATATCTCTGCACTCATGATGTCAATATAAATGTGTATATTTGTAAAATTCCGGTCTATAAGGAGGCATAACAAGGTATCTATCTGGTCATACATTTTTTTTATCCAGATAACCCTGTGTCTAAGGTGCGGCTTGAGTCATCAAGCTGTGGGTGGCCCTGTTGGCCTTAGGCCTCATGCACATGGCAATCAAAGCTGCAGCTCAGGATTCCTGTGGCAAGAACCAGCAGAGTCTTGCAGCAGAAAAACCTAGGTACAGCCGCTGTGCCCATTCAAATTAATGAAAGGCTGATAGTAGCCACATCTGTCTCTATGTAATCGTGCATAGCATGATTTTACCTGCGGATCAGGAGAGATGCTTGCCCCTGGATGCAATCTCTCTGCGTCTAGGGACAATCATCTTTCCCGATCTGCGGGTCATCATTTCATGTATGATTACATGTGCACAGTCACGGGCAGGTTCTTGCCACAAGAATCCCCAGCCTTGTTCGCCAGGTGCGGTAGGGCTTATCCAGCTCAATGACCTTTGACTGAAAAAACAAAAGGAGCAGGGTGGAAAACTGCCAGCCAAACAGTCAGGGGCGTAACTAGAAATCACAGGGCCCCATAGCAAAATTTTGTATGGGGCCCCGTGATTTATAGTTATAACCCTTGCAGAGCCCACCGTAGACTCTCTATGGTGGGCTCTGCAGGGCCACCCTCAGGTGGGCTGGTCGTACACCTTACCTGTCCGCCTCCTCTTCCTCCACGGTCACTGATGGGCCCCGCCTCCTCCCCTGCTGCCGACCACGAGCCCCGCCTCCTCCTCCACTGCCGGCTCCCATTGACTCTGTGGAGAGGAACGCGCTGCTGCACAGGATTACTGTCAGCGATCTGAACAGCGGCGTGTTCGTCTTCAGCCGCCAGTGAAAGCCACCAGCAGAGGATCCCGTAGCGACCCAGACGGCCCGCACGGCATCTGGCCCGGGCCCCACTGTGCCCCGGGCCCCACAGCGGCCGCCTGGGTTGCTATGGTGATTGTTAGGCCACTGCTAACAGTGACTGCAGCCAATCAGCTTCAGGCATAGTTTGAGTATTCAAACAATTGCGCACCCATGGGTGCTTGAACAATAGCTGGCAGGTAGATTCCTCCAACGCTGCTTAAAAAGGATGGAAAAAAAAAATCAAGAAATGTTCTCTTGTTTAGTCTGCGGCTGAAGAACTAAATATGTTTTGCTAAATTAAGTCAGCTACTATCTATCTGTTCATTGAGAGCGCCTCAGGACACTAATTGGGAAAGGGGGGGGGGGTTTGATTACTAGACAGGTTGGAAAATCCTGTTCAATCACTTTTGCTTTGTGTGCTCTCCTTTATAGGCTGGAAGTGTCTTCAGCAGGTGTCCTCAGATATACCGTAGTATCTTCCAAGCTAAGCACAAACGGTCACACAATAGAACTGTTTTAGAGGCCCCTTGGCTGGGATATATTCCTCAAGACAAACATGAGGTCACAAACAGTATCAGTATGTAGCCCCCTACAATACATGTAAAATAGCAAGGAACATGATTCCAATACAAAGGAAGAATCACTCCTTAGGGAAAGGGAAAAGGAAAGCGTTTTGGATGAGTAAGACAGATATGAAAGCACATGCTGCTTTGCACTTTGTCTACAAACACGATGGGCAGCCTCAATGGAAAGTGTGTGTGTGAAATTTGTACTTTGTAAAGTATGTGTCAATACACGTGGGCAATTTAGAGGGATTAGTCTAACAAAAGGTTTACGTTAAATGTACCAATTTCCTAATAGAAATCATATTAACGTCTAAGACTAATTTACTCCCACTTATAAGACTACTCACTCTGTTATTTTGTTACTATGCTGAAATTTAATAGTTTTCTAGTAAAAAGCATTTGAAAGTTTAACATAACAGATACTGAAAGAAATGTTACAATATGATATTGTCCTTTGGCATTGGGATTATTGAAGGGACAAGCACTGTCTTCTGAGCGTGCATCTTCACCGCTTTTCCAGTTTTTTGAACTTTGCTTCTGCAAGAAAAATACAAAGATCAAGTAATGAATGTTCTGGGATGGATTCACAAAAGGGGTGCACAAGGATTTTTTTCTCACATTTCCCATGCTCCCGTTGGCAATTGCAAGCATTGTACAATCACAATTGTGCATTTATGAAAAAGATTGTGCAGTACAATATACTTTTTTCATGGCACTTCCGGTGTCGTTTTTAACACTTACTGAATGGCACTGTCCTGGAATCACTAGTATCATGAGATAGATAAACTGTATGTAAATCCTAACTATAAATTTTGCCTAACTGCTTCCTATTGATGCGCTAAGTATGCAACTATACGTGTACCTCTGCATCCTGCCTGAATTTTAGGGCTGATCTGTGCCATGGACGCTGTGCAGCCTTATCTCAAACAATGTCATCAACCCTGCTGTGCCTACACTCTGGACTATGGAACACCCACTGCATCCATGTTATGGAGGCATGGGGATGGGCAGGTTTTTTGTAGTTGTAACATACCTCCTACCCTAGGGTGACAGTGATGCTCCTCCATACGGTACAATTTCGCCTGCTTCCTATTGATGCTCTAAGTATGCAACTATACGTGTTTTGTTACGTTTGATACCTCTGCATCCTGCCAGAATTTTAGGTCTGATCTGTGCCATGGGCGCAGTGCACCCTTATCTCAAACAATGTTATCAACCCTGCTGTGCCTACACTCTGGACTATGGAACACCCTCCACCTCCATGTTATGGAGACAGGGGGATGGGCAGGTTTTTTGTAGTCGTAACATACCTCCTACCCTAGGGTGACAGCGATGCTTCTCCATAGATATGGTACAATGAGTGAGAGTTATCACCTTAGTGCAGGAAGTGTGGTACTGGTAGGATCACCAGGTAAAAGTGAAAAAAAGAAAACGAATGCAGCCACCACATATAAAGACTGGTAAGTTGCAATATGTTATATTTGTTGTTATGTTTAGATATCCTTTATCTTATTGCCCTATCCTAATCCTAACCCTGATGCATAACACTAACCATATCCTTTGCTTCAGCCTGATCATGTCACTGAAACCTAATGGTAATCGCTGCCCTAGCTTAAAGGCGAACCTGCAAGGTCAGAAATATGGTATCTCCCATTGCTAGTTTGTATTTCAATGTACAGAATCTGTGACTGTCATCTTCAACTTGGTTTGGTATGCAGCGAGTCCCTGCCCTGGAATATCCATGCAGGAAGAGAGTTCACACTTTACTACCTCCACGTTTTTTCTAAATCAGCAATTCACTACATAGTGATACCAGGATCATGATGACAGCTCTAAAGCCAGCTCTAAAGACGCTATCAAAGCTCCAACATTTCTATTCTTGTGGGTTCACTTTAAAAGAGGACTTTGTTTTTAAAGGGGCAGGTTCCAAAGCGGTCATCCTAAAACTGGCCTCACCACCTAGTGAGCCATTGACCTGGAACACGTATGCAGCCGGAGAAGTTTTTAAGCGTGAATATCTGTCTTACTTCTTTCAGTTGAAGAACTCACTAAGTAGTAAAACAAGGATCAGGATAACACTCATGTAGCTAGCACCTTTAAACACAAAAGCAGCAGAGGAAGCTCTCATATTTCTATGCCAAAAGGTTTACTTGAAGCCTAACTCTTTGTCATAGATCTTACCATTATCTGTGCCTGCAAGTAGATGCCCCAGCATGCAAGGACAAACATATCTGTCATGGAGGGTCAAGAGTAACTGGATACCCCCTGAATGAGAATGTTTGGGGGGAGGGGGAGGGAGGAGATTAGTTGAATAGTATTTATAGGCAAAACTTTACCCTCTGAAATTTTACCCGATGACCATTGTCGGCAGGAGAGAAAGTGATGGCTGCTCCAACTAATGCCAAAAAACAGGAGAAGCTAAATCTTCCAATGAGGACAACATCTGATCAACCGGACACAGGCAGCCAAAACTAAACTAACAGGGATTTTATCCCTTCTCTATTCCATCCAAAACTAAAACAGAACAATTCTCGCTATGCATGCACTTTAACCAGACCAGGCAGGACACCATATCCTTTTCTAATAGCATTATTTGTGTTTTTATGTGATAGGATCTGTGCGTTTATACAGGTTTAGTGTATATTTAGATCTGTGTGCTGACACAATAGGCACGTTATGTCTGAATCAAATAAGCTATCTACCGTGCTTTGTACATTGTGATGTACAGTCCTTATCCCCAGCATAAGCTAATTTTTGGTTATCTTTCTCTTTTGTGTGCACTCAATATACTTCCTTGTTTCAGACAGTGGTGTAAACAATCTTCTATAAGTAGCAGCAGGAGTCATTATATGGAATCCCCAGAGATGCCCAGTTCGAATTAGCCTACTTGTGTATTAGAACATACCTAATCGTTTTGAATATGCATCGAGTTTATAAGCTGCATTTTCCAAAGATGCCACTTGTTCTTCTATCTGATTTATTTGTTCCAGGTATGGCTGGAGGCTTGCATCTGTAAAACAAGGCAACAACTGGAAATTAAGAACTGAAATATAATCCTATGTTTAAAAGCTAACAAAAAAAAAAAAGGTGTTTTCACTATAATAGTTGAGTCAACCCTGCTTTAGGCAGGTGAACAGGAGGATATACAAATACATATATTTCACCAGGTCAAGGTATAGCATCCTAGCCAATATGACACACTGGTGCTTTTTATAACAAATAACGGCTTTGATATTCCGATCAGATCTAGGAGTTATTCATATTTATTTAAAAAAAAAGAAACTCAAAAAAAGAACTCAAGGGAAAAAAAAATCATTTTTTTTCCTTTTACACACATCACTGGGGAGAGAAAATAGCAGGTGCCTAAGAACATTCAACTACAAGAACATACACTAAGAACATTCTACTTCGCCTCATTCTCACAACAGCTGTTGAATTTGCACAAAACAAATCTACGTACAGTTTGCCTGGATGAATAGCGATGCAAATTTGTTTTTATAAATAGACCCCTAGATGTTCATCCGTTTTAAATTGATGTTCTTGAGGCAGAACTGAATAGGAAGAAATAGAACAGTTTGGGAAATATATAACGGGTTGTGTGACATGTGAAGCATATCAAATTTTTGTTTCTAATTTAAATCTATTACTGTGTGAAGAAGGAAAAAACCAAGCATAATTTTTCAATTAATTTGTAATTATGATAAAAATTACATTTCCAAAGAACAGCCAGCACAACTATGGCAACTTGAGAGAAAATGTTGTTTACATATGGAGAACCGATTCTAAATTGATATGCATTTGTAGTCCTCTGCTTTATACAAACAAATATGAAAGAACTTCAGGAATTTCTTTTTTTAATTAACCCTTGCTGTGGGGCTACACCTGCACTGCAGGGGTTAAGTGCTCATTTTTGTCTAGGTGCTAAAATAACAAAGATATACTCATCCAAAGCTCTGAGCCGACCAGCTGTCACGGTGCTCCCTCCAGCCTGTCCCCTCCTACCTGCAGCATTGGAATCTTTCTCGGTGTCGTCACGCCTATACACTGTGTGACACATGGGACCTTAAGACTGCTGCAGAGGAGGGGGAGAGACATTGGAAAGACTGGTCAAAAAAGAAGCCGGCTTGGAGCTTTGGGTGTTTATAACTGGGTTTTTTTTAACGTGCAGTTAACCCTTGCAGTGCAGGGGGTAGCCCCACTGCAAGGATTAATAAAAAAACATTTCCTGGAGTTCTTTTTTAAAATCAGCATCCCGCCACACCTCAAAGACATTATTAGAGTGAATCATCTCAGTTTTGCACGATTTTTCCACAGATCTAAGAACTGCTGGACTGCCTTGAGCGCCATTTATAGAGCAAAGTGGTTACTGATGACACAGTACAACTGAACGGTGCTTCCTATTTGCTATAAAAGACCACTGCAGGCAAATACCCACCAGTTTTTATGTGTGGGTGGGTTCCAGTACCTGTATAATTACCAACTAATTTATTCACAACACAATTTACTTTTCTTAGATAGGTAAGAGTATGGTTCATTGTTCTTGCGAGTGCACTTACACTTTTTGTTCAGATCCTTCAGATTCCGGCTGATATTTGCAGCAATGTCTTTCATCTCCATATACTTCAGGCTTGTGAGTTTATTCATATTCTCAAGAAGTTTGTAGTCTTCAGTAGTGGCTGAAAAGAGGATTTGGAAGTAATAAACAAGCTTTGCATTAGACATGTGCAGTGATTTGGTGGAAATTGCTAGTTGAAGGTGACCTAAAGATCAATAAAAATGACTCCCTATAAAGAATGGAATTAATACTTATCCTGCTGCCAATCTTAATTTTCTTGAAGAGCTACAGTGGCTGTATCCTGTAGTGACGTAGGGGCTGGCTGAAAGAACCTCAGCGCATGGCAGTGGACCAGCAGTCTTACGCAATCGTAGCTCATTAACGAAGTGACGGATGGCGGCATTGAGCAGTGGCACCATAAGATATAAAGCAAACCAGTGCTTTGGCCATGCAAGGCAGAGCAACAGATTATCTTTGCTGTTGCCCTCCCCAACTGCAAATACTCCATGTAGCAAAAAGAGTGAACAAATGCACCTGGCAATCCTGGGGACTAGTAGCCTATGCCATGTGACAAAGCTGGCACTTAATTCCTAACGCACCCAGCAAAGTCACATGGAAATGGAAAATTCTTCAACCCTGTGAAGGCTCTAACTTGAAGCTTATACATGACTTATTTTTGCTCCAAGAACCCAAAATGAAGCAGCTAGGGACAAAGAAAGGCAGCAGTCAAGTGGGCCTGTTGCTTTGCCCAGCACCGGAAAAGCAGAGGTTCACATTATAAAAACAAAAAAAAAGAGAACAATGTAAACACATGATTACAAGCAGCCACATCGAAGTACACACTCTTGTTGCTTAAACTAATTTTGTGTAGTGTCAGTGTGAGCTTATGTCTCTATCTCAAAATTCTATTCTTGCTAATATTCTGACCAAATATGGGGTTAGGGCAGAGACATACAGCAGGTGGGTTATAAGCAGAAAGCCATCTCTGGAAACAATGGACATTAAAGTAGTCCTAAAGGCTGGTGGTTTTTTTAAACTTAATTCAGTCTCTGCATTAGGGTAATACATGCCCAGTACATTTTCCTGTCGCTTGTCCTCCCCCCACACTTACCTGTGAACATCGATGTCACCGTTGCCAGTCCCCCGAATTTCCTGGTTGGGGGGGATACTGAAGGCAGAGGTGCCATAGGCTCCTTTTGCAGTCAAAGTGTGACTATAGGAGTGGTGGTGAGGGTATAGCTTGCCACAAGCTGTTTGTGTACATTTACACACACAGCTACTTGAGGGCATGGCCGGTAATGCGCAAGCAGGGGTGCCTCCATAGCAGTCAGCTAGCTGATGGAGGCGCCCACACAGGGGGAGAGAGGGGGGGAGAGCAATGCGTGGACCAACTAGAGAACCAGGAATTGAACATTTTTAAACAAAAAGAATGTGGAAGTGTGGGCCTCCCATTAACAAAAGTTAAAAAAACCCTGAAGTTTAATATCACTTTAAGCAGACCATTCACTTTTGAAGTTTCATTTTCTGTTTTATATTCATTTCCAAAATGCAGTGTTATGCAGGTGAGATATCAAAAATTAAAGACATGCACTAAACGTTCAAAAGAAAGTCAGGCACAGGGCTTTTGTGAGAAACAATTGCTATTAAAAATAGTTATTTTATCAAAAAGTATATTGGAAAATATTATTACCCAAATTGAACTGATTGAATCACAAAACGTTCCTGAAGTTGAAACCTAAATGGAATATATATGTCTCTTTACCCACGCCAACCATGTGCTTAAAAAAATGACATCTAATACTGTTTTTCTTTCAAAGCCAATTATTAATCTGGTCACATGAAAAAAACTACATCATCATCATAAAGGGGCTAACAAGGATTATGGAAAATGCGCATTGCACACTAAGAGAACCTGTACCCATATCTTCAAAATAGCAACAAATACACCTTTAGAAATGTTTAGTAATGCCAATCTACAAACAGATGCTTATAGATAATTGCCAGCTTTTTATTTTGTGTGTACCTTATTTTTTTCCCCTCCCCATTCTTCTCACAGTGGCCATTTTAACTAAGGGCAGGTTACTAAATCTCACTTTACTTCCTGGAACTCCGAAACATAGGATATGTGACCATGCACATCTTATGAGATTACAGATGAGATTTCCCAGCACTGCTCTGCTGATGTAACCTTCCCATGATGCAATGCTTGGGCACATTACATCATTTGAGCCAAAGTGGACCAGGAAGTAGAAAAAAAATACATTTTAAGCAGAGAGCCGTGACAGGATCGAGAGGTGAGCGAACGCCGGTATGTGTTCGCTCACCTCGCGATCTACTGAGCCGACCTGTGACGGTCTCATTGTCACAGGTCGGCTAGAACTATGAGGTGAGTGAAAAGCACTCACCTCATAGTTCTCCTTTAAGCACTTCCCATGCCCCTCATGCTGTGTCTAGGAAAGCAGTTTTTTCTCCTGTGGGAAAAAAATACAAAGCAAAGGCCTTCCAGTGTCAGTACTGCTAATAAGTCTAAAAAAATATCCTTTTTGGAGAACCATTACACCCCCACTTTAAACTTTCTGTGTGGGAGCAACCAACAGGCAGCAAATACAACAGTCCAACAATGATCTGCAGTTTTACACTTCCTAAACCCTGGGGGGACTGGCATTACCAATTACATCCCAAGAAGGACTTTTCCAATGGTAATTTTCTTGCAATACTTCTTCAAACCAGCGCTATTTTACAAACAAAACAAACTTCTCACCTCCCTCATCCAAGTGAAAACCCATATTTGCATGAAAATACCCTTCCCTTGGACTAAAATAGAAAAACAAACAACATTTTGCAAGACAAAAGTTTCAATCAAAATACTTTAGAATAAAGAGTTTGCAGTTGGAAATTCTATGTGCAAAAAAAAAGTAAACTATGCAAAACAAAAACGCAACAGATATAAAAAATAGTATACAATGTGTAAAGTCATTGTTTCCCTTTAATACATCAGAGCCCTGGGTCTCTGCCTGTCACGAGCGGTTTATTATATGGTCCGATCACTTGCAGATCCGAGTGTTATTTGCAATGATAAGGCTATGTAGGCTGTCCCTGGGGGAGGGAATGGGGGTGATAACAAGTTCCCAACCATTGGAAATGCTTGGTAGTATTTTGCAATGTGTGTGAGTGGGTGCTTGGACTTAGTAGACAAATAAGAGTTTTGTTGCTCCAACACGGTTAATAACTGGCAGTCAAGGAAAAAAAAAAACCTTGGGTCTAGGCAGCATATCAATACAATGCTAAAGAAGGTACATGGAGTCTTATCCCTTCTCATTCTCTATGAGTGACTCTATTATAAACGATACACATTTATTGTTAGGGTATAACCATGCATGAATGAGTCTTGGTAGCAAAAAAAAACAAAAAAAAAACTCTAGTCTTCACAACATTGTAACATCTGTGGCCCCTTCATTTTAGGTACCTTATTATATTCCACTTACCTACCAATTCGCCAGTTAGATAACATGACATTTTACTAAACATATCCCTGCAGAGCTCATTGATATCGGCTTCTGGTGGCTCAACTGCCTCTTCTGCGGTCTCAACTGTAGAATCATCTGCAGGGAATAATACATGAACACAATTGAATCAATTGTGAATATATGAAATATTTTTAATTTTCATAAAAAATAAATAAATCACTGTTAAAGTGTAAATATATATCACAATCACTGAATTTGTGCTGATCTCCTTTT